GATGTCTAGCTTCACTCTTCAGAGAAGCTTCGTCTGTTTCTAGTCTCCTAATCCAATTTACATGTTCCTTTCTAGTTTTCTAGTCCAATTTACATGTTATATTCTATGACACTTTCAAATTTTATTTTTCGTCGAAAGGTCTGTTAGCTGCTGCGCACGCATTGGAGAAGGCCATGATGGGCAGAAGTACTAAAAGGCGAAAATTGTGATTAACTTACCTTAATATGAAAAGCATCAACTGTAAAACACATTTTACCTAGACATTGCTTTCAAACAAAATAATTAGGAGTAAAACAAGTTGTTCACAGGGAGTGACATCCCGTGCCGCCATTTTAATATGAATAGAATCAAACTATAATTATTTGATGGTCACCCCAAAGATCAACCTTGGGCCAGGTTTGGTGAATCTGTAATGCTTAGTATAGCCTGATATGCCTGAGAGAGCAAACATAGCATATCATTGTCATGCCAACATGACTAAATGTTAACATCATATTTGGAAATATTCCCATTACACGAACAATATCAAAAACATATGCCTAATAAACAGAGAGTTATTGGGATTCAAAGTGTGGATGAGAATGAAATTTAATCAGTATCTAGCTTGAAGTTTATCTTCAAGCTAAACATATCAGTCGAACCGACCACGATACAGTTGACTTGAAAGATTGTTGTAATATGAAAGACCTAACCTAATCGGATTAGAAATCAGACTTATGTTGAACGTGAAACATAAATTGATAATAAAATTCTACAAAACATCGATAGGTTTCTGTGGTGTTTTTTTTTTCAATAGAGATTGTAATAAATACGGAAATCATATCACTTGCTCTTTCATTTCATATTCTCTTTAAACACCAATATGACAATGGGGAAAATGTGGTTAACTAACTATCATAGAATAAGGTTTAAAAAATCATAGAATAATTAACTAAAAAACATTAAGAATAAAGGAAAACCATGGAGCAGGATTGCCGTAACTTAATTTTGTTTCCGTAACTAAAAAACTACAGGTAAAAACTATGCCTACTTCACGCTGTAACAGAAAACAGGTCCTCGATTAAGTCCTAGAAAATTCTTCGAATGTAAAATAATAGTAATATTAAGTCTATTACAAAAACATGAGACATATTTTAACTGTAAACTTCGAACAGTTCAATGCTACGAAATAACACAGAAGAAAGCTACCTGGTTAATTAATAATTAAGAAAATAATATACAGCTGTACCACTAAATAAGCCTTTAGATAATGGAAGAAACATATTAAAATTGGGGCTCCAGTTCCATTCCAGCATTAACTACTGTTAGAGTTACACAGGGTTATTGAAAAGAACGTGCTTTGATTTGATATAGATAGCAACCGTTTGCTACACATATTTGTAACACAAAACAGTTTTCTGTAGTGCAATTAGTGCTTGCATGGTTACATTCATATGTGTTTAATATAGATAATATAGTTAGTACAGGAAGCATTTCTACAGGTTTGACTTAGTATTTGACTTTGAATTTGAGTGTCCATGGATCGTGTCCTGCTTCTACATTTTGAGGTCGTGCTTATGTGTTATAACAGCTACGATCAAGTCCCATTATTCAATTACAGTACTGTAAGAGTTAGACGTGAGTCTGTTTACAAACTGCGTTTCCTCTAGTCTGTAACTTGAACAATTGGGAAGACTAGAGCAGATATCCCTTGTGTAGTTTTGTGCGAATTTTCGTAATAAACAAATAATCTGAGCCTACAATTTGTGGTAATTGCAACTTACGCAGGCACAAACGTGCGTTTCTCAATCTATTGAATTAATTTGATATTGCTTCTGTACCACAGTATTTCAGTTGATTGAGTTAACGTCGTACAGATTTCCCTGACACTGATAGCTGGTACTTGACACATAACTTTATCTATACGTCTCATTTCACAATGTAGCTCAGTGTGCAACGTTTCCAATCGCACATTGTGGTATTTCTGAAATCGTTGTTCCCTTTATTTCCGTTTTGTTTTTGACCAGTGAAGCTAAGTTGAAATCATCTTGGAAACTGTTGTTCATGACACATCAATAAAGTTTTGGTTATAGAGATACCTGCCATGCGAGTTAGTCTTTTTGGAAAATAAAGCATAACAGGGATAACTAGTTCTTACTTTTCCTTCTTAGGAAGGCCGCATACCTGTCCATTATTAAGAACAGGTTAAATTACGTATTGAAACTAGAAGAATTTTATACATTTTTTTTGGTTTGTATATTATACCTATTGTAATATTTTGGGACTAGTAGAACTTAATAAAATTCATTTAATTGTTGTAGGTAAAAAATAAATAGATAATAATTAGCAAGAATCAAAAATATTCCTTCTCTCGACATAAGTCCAGTTTCGCAAACTTTTTCTTGAAGACCAGTAATAGAGGACCTTGTTTAAAAACAATAGTGGAGGACTCAAATTCGATGACGAGGAACCCACTTTGAGACTAATAATGGCTGGAGACGGCTTGAATTGTTTAAGATCAATAGTTTTCTATCTGGAGAGTCATGCATTTTAAGCGGGGTTGCAATGTTTGTCAATTTTGGCCTTCATCACATTCTACTTGAACAAGAATTATATTTGCTCCACTTATTTGATATTTAAAATGATTGTTAAAGTTTTAAGAAGTTGTTATATTTTCGATTGTATTTATTTAATCCATTCCATTCACACTAATCTAGCTGGTTTTTTGCGTGAAGTTACGATGAGATTATGAAATTACTCAGATTGGAAAAAAAAATCTTAAATATTGTATCGTCTGTTTCTATGTTGATGAATTTTATCACATTTACTATAGTTTATTCAACCTTAAAACACTATGTTTGGAATAATACCAAGACAACTAAAACAGAAAACGGCATATTTTTAAGCCAAATATTGTACCTAAAAGTTTTTGTTATGATTTACTTATATAATATGACTTTATGAGTTGAGGGTAAGTGTCAGATATGAAATATTTCAATGTCAAGTAATTTCAAGAGTTAGAGAACATGTTGTTGCAAGATACGCAATATTTTCCCTTCACAAACAATAAATTTAAGTGTGTTTTGTTAGTTTGATGAGTTATTCTTGTTCTCTACCACATGTGGTAAAAATTCAAATTTACAATACTCTAAGCTAAATGAATATGGCATCGAAAACTTTTTACAACTAGAAAACGACCTTTATCATTTTCACAGTATTGAGTGCTGTAAAATTTAAATGTACCACAAACAACACTCTATGTTCAGAATCTGCAAGTATGTGTGAGTTTAACAATTTGTATTTCCAAGAATCATCATTTCTTCGATCACTCCAAAAATCGGCTTTTTGTGTTCGTAAAATACTGTACAAATGACATTAAATGTCAACGATCATGTTGCATTAGCCAACGAGATATTTCGCTCAATATTACAACTCATCATATATGCTGACTTATCGAACCTTGTGTTTAGAAAACCTTACAAATATTTCATTTGTGTTGAGATGTTCTTTTTTCTAAAATAGATTCATGCTTCGATAGATGTGACATCGTTGAAATTTTAAATCAATGTCTCACAAATGACTGCGATAAAGAGCGTTTGTCCTGATGAGCTATGATTTTGAAACAAATAATTCGTCATTTGTAGCATAGAGCAGATATATGTATTTATATATAAATGTACCATTAGTAATGTTAAATATGACTATGAATTATACGTAAACAAAATAAATGAAAAACATTGTTTCGCACTAAACTGATTTATGGATTATATGACTTCAAGTAATAGGGATAATATTTCCTCGATCTAAATCTTCCGACATCATTGGTTCTGACATTGAGCACAAATACCCTCTGCATGCAACCAACAAATTAATAGAGTTGAAAAATATACTAAATGCATTTCTTTCCTTAAAACTCAGGTTTCGTCAAAATAACGTTTGTATTCCATTTTAATAGGTTTAGCACTTCAAACTTTCCCTAAATGTCAACACGTTTATGGAAAAATAATTGAAAATACTGAAAAACTTTAGAATAATATGACTACTAATAATGTATGTGTGAGGAAAAATGAGTTATGTTTTAACATGTACAATATTTACATATATGAAAGTATTTTTTCAATGTTTCATGTCCTCAACAGATAAATCTCATATAAAACATATAACGTGTGAATAAAGTGTGAACATTCGATTAGTTGACTTATTATAAAATATGTGGTTTGTGAAACAAAGACACAGTAGTTGTATATTTTGGATTAATTTCCTAAAATAAAACAAGCTATTACTGTAGTAAAGCAGTAGTTAGACGGTCACGATAAGCTTTACATGAATATAAGACAATGTACACTAACTGTAAAACGAATACGTCTGTAGTCGACAACGTTCAACAGCTGAGAATGTGGGCATTTAATTATGTTGACATTAACTGTTAGCCATAGAAGATTACTATAAGCACCATTATATGCCATTTAATCCTCACGACATAAGCTTTCAGGTCAAGTAGAGTAAATGTCAGTAGCATTGTTAGTCATATCAAAGATATCTTTTTAAAGAACCACCAGTCTCTGTTATTACATGGTTGAGACGTGTAGCTAGTAACGATTACTGTTACACCTGGACATATCCTTAATAACATCTTCTTTGAACAAAACGTGTCCCTTAATTCACGTGTATGTTTTCAAGATCCCTGTTTGTCGAAGAAAGCTCAACGTTGAAGTGTTTGCTCACCATTAACTATTATTCATTTTGTTATATAGTTTATTATGTTCACTTGTTATGTGTAGTTTTACCTGGACGGATATTTCGTTTTGGTTCCTGAAATTTTTCTAATGATTCTTAGTCGTTAAATATGACTAAAAACTCTGTAAAGAAAATAGAAAGGAAACGTTGTTTAATATATAGAAGACCATCATGTGCAATATATTACTGAAAACAAAAAAAACAAATTATAAGTATAATATGTTTAAGAATTAGAAATTTGTGACGTAACCATAGTAATAGGTAAATAAAGCAGCTTAACTTACCGGCAGGAATTACACTGAATTTACATGAGGTTTTTTGTGTTCCTGCTGTGTTTTTACCCCAACAATATAATGAGCCATAATCATACTGATTTCGTGGAATGATTGTGGCGTAACTTGTAGCTCCATCATTGACAAAATTGATAATGTCCACCACCTCCCGACTGTTATTCAACTTCCATTCAAATTGTACATCCGTTGGATCTGCGTCTAACTTGCAGGATATTTTTACTGCCTCATTCATCGCAGCTCCATAGAAAAACTTCTGGTCCTTCTCACATCGAGGTGCATCTTTTAAGATTTGGTTATAAAACCATAAGGCTACTAAAACAATGGTATTTTATAACTAGACAAAAAAAGATATCACTTAAGCGTTAGATTGTTTTAAACATTACCATATATATATATATATATCAAGAAACTTTACAACAGTATTCTTAAAAAAAAAGCTAACATAAGAGACGTTGCACTCATGTTAAATAATCTCACTTCTGTTAAGTAAACACAAGTGACGTTGCACTTATGTTAGATCATCTCATTTCTGTTAAACTAGAACTTGGTTTGTTTGACAAACAAAAACGAGATATAAGTAATACATAATTAGCGAACTTCTTAAAATCCCAATTGTTTAGAGCAGAAGCAATTTATAACTTAAAATTTGTTACTAAGAGTTTAAAATTGATGGCATGGTAACACAACATTTAAATTATTATATGAAAGATAAAGTACCAAGGAGGAATTTAGTCGATGCTAGTTCATAGAAAAACCTATGGACAGAGACAACCAAGAGCCTTTGGAAATCAATGTGTGCTATACCCCTAACTTGCTATGCTATATGGAGATACGGTAATGTCACATCATTAAAATTAGTATGGTTCGTGTTGTTGGTCTGTAAACTGGAACTAATGAACCAGAATTAGGGTAAGTAATTCTAGACTATATGAACTTAGGACTAATTGATGTAAAATCGAAGCAAATGGATCTTTAATACCCTGTGTTTAACAAGTATTTAAAACAAAATCAATAGTCATCAAGTGTTCGATGAAATGTACGTGTAATAACACGTATGAATAACCTTGCTAACCAATGGTAATTGTACTTTGTACAAAATAAATGATCAAAGAATACAAATGTGACAGACTAAATTCGTAAAGCAATGAGATTTCCAAAATTAAAATAGTTACAAATGTAATTAATTCGAAATAACAATGCAACTGCGATAATAGGCACCATAATTACTCTGTAAAAAACATTTTTCAAACTACTTATTGTAAAAAGTAATCAGTACCAGTAATGATTGTATCGGTCACGTGCAATTTCCTTTTTGCAAATACACTTACTTTAATAACAAGAATTTAAACTACTATTCTCTTTGAATTAGTTATGTTAGTAATTTTAGTGCACGAATAAAATCAGTATTATATTAATTTCAGCCCAGTTTTTAAAATTTGGTTTCTATTATGACTGCTATATGAAAATCTAAGGTTCTTTTCTTTCATTTTTTAATTAGGTTTGATATTTAAAAAAAATAAAATGTTGTTATATTACAACAAGTATTTATATCATTTGTAAACAAAGTTACCACTTACATTGCACTCTTAGAAACACTGAATTACTTTCTCCTTGCCCTTCACTGTTGGTAGCTAGGCAAGTATAGCGCCCTCTACTAGAACGCTGAACTTTCTGGAGCACCAAAGATTGGTTGCTGATGATTACGCCTGCTGACGTATTGGTCTGGAGCTCACGACCTTCGAAACGCCAGCTGATATCCGTCACTGAAGGATAAGCTCGAATATTGCATTCGAAGTAAACGTCATTTCCTTCCTGGATATGGCTGTGACGAAGTTTACTTCCGAGACGAAGTGACATTTGTGGAACGACTACACGTGTACATTAGAAAAATAAAAATCACCAGTAAGCAGTTGAATAAAAATTCTGGTAAGAATAGACATAAAATAAATTATGATCTACTTATTAAACAATGAAATACTATAGAGTGATATTAAAAAAACGACTTATTCAAATTCAATACATCAATTTCTGTAAAGATTAAAACCATTGTAATCAGGGGTTTGATAGGAAATGTCTTTAAATCGTGTGAGCTTTCAATTCAAGCATATAACTTTATTGTTTTCATGTATGCTTTGTTGCCTTAAAACCTAATAACAAAATGTTAATTACTGTTTCCTGATCACAAAATGTTTATCGAATGTTTATGATTGCTCTAGAAAAACTTGTAAGATTTTACAACGTATATTTTAATATATTTTTGTCAAGTCTATTTAAGCTAAAGAGTAATCTCAACATGAAAGTAATTAATACTACTGATTTTCTACAATGAGAAAATGAAATAAATAAATATATATATATGTATATTTCAAAAATATATTAATATTTATCAGATTTCGACATCGTAAAAATTGATGTTAATGTGACTTTTATATTTTTTTATGAATTGTAGAATAATATAATAAATTCAAATCTACGTCAACTTGTGCTTACAATAAATGTCGAGCTTCCAGCCATCTTCGACAGCACTTCCAGGAATTAGATGATTTTCTGCTCGACAAGACAGATATTTGCCATTGTCATCGCTTGTAGGTGTGATGGTCAGTACACTGATGGTTATATTTCCGTTGGTGCTCTGGTTTGGTGGCGTAACTGTTTTTGTACTTTTAAGTTGCTTGCTTCCTTTCCACCAAGTTATTTTGGCAGGCGGTCTAGACCCAATAGCTTGACATCTCAGATCTGTAGAATGTTCTGCAGAAAGTGGGCGATCTTTATCTAAGATCTGCACAGCGAAAGGTCTAACTATGGGAGACAAACACAATCATAATTATATTTGAAATAGCGTGAAGATATTGACTGACTCTACTATCATAAAATTGATCGAATTTTTCTTTGCCTCTAAGGTTAGTTTCAGTAAAATATAGCGTGCACAATATAGAATTCTTAACATAATAACGAAATGTGTTCATGCATAACTTCAACTAATTATTATAATTAATACTGGAATCTTCAAATATAATTTATTAAGACGATATTTGCTTTTTTGGTGGACTTCCTATTCGTGTATCCTCTTTTAAAACTCTGTAATGAAAATAAGTTATGGTTGTTGCCATTTCAACTATAAGTTCAACATTATGTTGACTCCACTTTTTATACATATAAATGGAACAAATTAATTTATATAGAATAATTCCTAGACACCCAGCTGATCATAGTGTGTTTATTATCTAATGTGAACATGTATATTGTACTACAGTCCCTGCTCTAAACTAATTGGAAGGATAATATAGATGGTATGTTTTGCTATAACCATAGTATTACGTTGGAAATTACTGTATTATCTACAAAATTAAAATATAATTGTAATGTATGTCGTTGTTTCATACATGCTATCATAAAACAAAGCGTGATTACAACCACATTATTGTTACTATTTTTATTTTGCTGTTTAAAATAATTTGGGAAACGAAATGGGAAACGTATTTGTTTTGTTATATCACGGAAAGGTTTGATGTTTTTGGAAGTCATCGTTTTATCCGATAAACACGATTTGAAATGTCCCAAAACCTTTCAAAAATTGGAAGATATGAAACTTGCAACATTACTTTTAAATTCTTATCTACACATGTGGACTTAAGATAATGCCTGGTTACCTAATAAAATGTAACACCATATTCTATCTGATATTATGTCTTAAGTGATAGCTTACCTGACTTAAACCCCTTGGACAAGCTTCACATTTTCAGCTGTGTATGAACTATGAGAGTCAGTCAAACTGGTTAGTCGATTTATTATTTTAAAATTAGAGATAGCTATTTATGAATAAAAACGGGGGGGGGGTACATTCAGCCTATGTGGTCATAAAGTATCATTCAGGATCAAAATACCAATATCTAAATACTGTCCGGCAGTTATAGGACATTTTGAAGTTAATCTAAAACATGATGTTTAGTTGAATGTTATTCATCCCTCGTTATATAAATGGTATTGGTATATAAACTTATATTTTTTGCATTTTTTTCTGTATTAAGAAATGGAGAAAAAGATATATATATCAAATGCATAGCCATAATTAATTAATATTAAGAGTATTACTAACAAATCTGACCAAATTTTTCATTATGTATTCATTAACAAAAGCAATGAAACATAAAATACAATATATATCAAAAAGAAAAGTCCAGTAAAGACGTTTGAGTAATTTGGTAAGAATTACCTTCAATAGTTATGTCGGACTAGTTTTTATGTGTTCCCTATGTAAATAATACTCTATTCTTTCTTGTATGTTACTTTCATTATGAATACTCTTTAGACTATTTAAAATATCTATTTTTATTATGCTTATTGTTTCCACTTATTGTTATTATGCATTGTCAGCTTAGTATATATATATTTAGGATTAATCCAAATCTCTTAATCTGGCCGAAAGTCGTAAGATATTGTTAACAGTGACAATACCCACTGATGAAACAAACTTAAGAGCAGTATATTTAATTAACAGTACGATTACGGGTTTATTTTTAGTGAGGATTTGAGTAGGTATTTTGGTTTAATCAGAAATTAATGTTAATGATGAGCCGTATACCAAATTATCATGTTTCAGTTGTACTGTACAAAAATACACTTTCTCCTTACACATAAATTTAAAACATCTTGTACACGAACTCTTAAGCTAGATATTGACCATAATTATATGTTTATGAATCATCAGACGACAAAACAATCCAATTTGACTTGATGTATTTAGATTTCCGTTTTATTATTATATAAAACTGTCACTTTAAAGTTCTTGTTATTTGCTTTGTTTTCATGAAACAAAAAACATGTTATCAGTTTTTCAAAAAGATATATTAATATCCTAAAGTGAATAGGTAATAGGAATCGTGGTTGCTACAAAACCTTAGGTTTGACACATTTGAACATGAGATCAAACAGGTGGGATATATCTGATCTTTAGAGATAATGAGCAACGCACTACGAAGATCAACAAACATTATTCAGAACAGTTAACTCTTACAATAGCTTGATATGCTGTTTATATTAACTATCTTCTACGTCTGCTTTTTTTAACATTCTTTGCCGTGCCCAAACGTTCGTGTGTAAAATTTATTATACTCAATGAGAAACTCAGTCCCGTATTGTAAGAATGCTGTAAAATATAATCATTTAAAGTATGGTGTTTTATTTATAATCACCAACAGGTCGCGTATATCTGTGTGCATCAAATATGTATATATGTATATTTACACACACAAAAATATTGAAGTAACACTCAGCTCTAATAACCTACATAGTTATAATTATCGTTTTGAAACTCTGACTCCCCAGTGGGTAAGTCATTTTTACATCTTCTGACATATGGTTTGTAATCTATATTGTTATTATTCATTTCACCGACGCATCGAACTTATGTAAATTGTTTCGATGATAAAGAAACACAATCTATGAACACAAACTACTTGCACAATATACACATCCTAAATCTATATCTGATTCAAAATCCTATGTACGCTACCATAAACTCTATGTACTAAACATATACCAGACAAGCAATCATGATGCAAATAACATTTACTTTTTAACGTACGTTATTAACCAGAATTTCTTTGAAAATAACATAATTATGAAGGAAAAAGACTACAGTTTCCTTTTTTATTTTCACTTGACAATTTTAAGGGTCAATACACGATACCAAAACACATATGTATAGTGTTTTCTAATAAAAAAAATAAATAAATTCATGTTGCTGTTTTTTCTTTCCTCCCAACTCTTGCATGGTTCTTTTTCACCACTACTTTGTATTTAAAATGAACAAAAGTCGTTTCTAAGCATACTAAACATCTATTAAAATAAATAAATGATGTATAAATGCATCATTGTAGAGACGCATATGCAGTTGTATTTCAAAAATAAACTGTGACGTCATCATATTTTGCATACTTCGTATTTAGACAACCAAATATCCTCCCCCCCCCCCCCCATAGGCCTCCATCTAGAAGCACGCCAACGTCTGGTTATTAAGAAAATATTAATAATTTCTTCTACCCATGATCTATATTTATTGGGCTTACAAATGTCACTTGTTAAGGATTTAACGATAAACGGAATAATGCACCTTAATATATGTAATTTGTATTTATGACAACTACTCCAAGACTGATCTTAATACATAGGTAATCAACGCGCATAAGAAATACTTGAGAGACAGATGTGTTAATGACTGCAAAATCAAACTTTAAACTTAAATTTTATATCATTGTAATTTACGAAACTTCTATAAATTATCATGAGAATCTCTACATATATAAACCTGTCTATTTCAGTAAACATAAGTATCATTATATATATATATATATATATAACCATGTATATTTCAGTAAACTGTGGTAATATCATTGCGTTATTGAATTTTAATTGTGCAGTCTGCGCCAGGAAATTAATGATATTCAAATGCCATAATCAGTATTCTCGCATTTAAAAATAGAAATGTATTAAAATGATTCAGATAAAGCTTAAAATTTTCGCGTGGATATAAAAAATATATATCTACTATATGGGGCTCTATCGGCAATTGTTTGCAGGGTGAACAATTGTTTTTTTGTTTTATTAAAATTAACCTTATCTAAATGTTTTTTATATTATTAAAAATGTACCTCCCCATAACTGCAAAAACCAAATCACAGAATCTTCTATATAACCTGAATGCATCACTACTCAGTTAGAAATTAAAGAAATGATTAAAAATAGGCTTTGCATGGCTGGTGGTTAAGTTGCTCGACTTGCATGATACGGGTCGTGTGATCGAAACCCGTCGCCGAACATGCTTGCCCTTTCAGCCGTTGGTGCGTTATAACGTGACGATTAATCCCGCTTTTCGTTAGTAACGATTCGACTATGGATGGTATTGACTAACCGTCTTTCTTCTAGTATATTTCTAGTATATTATATTTAAAATTATGGGCCGCTAGCGTGGATGGCAGTCGAGTAGCATTGATCGAATGTCAACTTACAATACTACTAAACCCATTAGATTGTTTAAAGTAACATGTTTTCACAATACGAAAGCGAAAAGATACTTAAAGCAGCTGCACCTTTTTTTTTCACCCAATTACCAACTGTGCATAACTACATCGCTTCAGAAACAGTTGACTTCAAAAAATAATTACCACCAGTTGCTTGTTTGTACGAATACCAGAAGCGATTGTCATGTTTTCATCCGTTTCATACTTCAGATTTATACAACCAAATAACCCTCCCTCAGGCCTTCATTTTAGAAGCGCGGGAAGGTTTGTGACAAAAAGGAAGTCATTATTTCTTCTCTACATGGTTTAAGTACGACATAGTTCTGCGCCATCATCCCTAATTAAGATGTTACATTAATTAAGACCGTAGAAACGAAACTGTAAAGAAGTAACTTCGGATGAATAAACAAAAAACGATATATAAATTCATATTAGTAAACGAGAAGTGAGATGATAACTTCCAATACCTAAACCTATTAATATATTACATATTAGTAAACGAGAGGGGAGATGATAACTTCCAATACCTAAACCTATTAATATATTACATATTTTATGTAAGCTGCAAACAAATATTTAAATCACAGTATTAGCTTTATTTGATTGTTTGTTTTTGAATTTCGCGCAAATGTACACGACGGCTTCTGCGCTAGTCGTCCCTAATTTAGCAGTGCAAGATTAGAGGGAAGACAGCTAGTGGGGTTCACCGTCACATTATAACGCCTCCACGGTTAAAAGAGCGAGTATGTTTGGTATTACGGGGATTCGAACAAACGACCCGCAGATTGTGAGTCGAGCGCCTTAACCACCCGGCGTGTGTATGTCAAAGTAAGATACCCGTAGAAAATAATTAAACATGACACCCCGTATTAATACCTCTGCTATAATCTATTCAATATAAGAAATAAAACAAAGTGTAATTTTACATTCAGTAACATCATATAGAAGTTTAGTGATGTGAAATACAGTAAAATGGATTATTCTGCCATAGTTGTCCCAATTGTTTTCACTATTTTGAATCAGTGTATGTCGAAGGTTCAAGATTTGCGTCGCGATGCCACAACACACAGTCAATCTCTTATTTGCTTCAAAGCCGACGGGTGCTGTCGACTTCTGCCTTTCCTGTGATCAGTAATTCAAATTTTAGACGGAATTATAGTTGTCACAGACCTTTTCGTTTAGGATCAAAAGACCAATTCTTTTCTAACAAGTATTCCCCGTAAGATGTGTAAATTTCTACCACAAAAAAGTAAAATTCTCTACATAAATAAATAATAATGAATATTAAATCAAAATATTGACTATGGTATATTACTATTTTATTTGGACGAGAAATGACACCTAGGGATCTACCTCGTAGTCAAATTCTCATTTCGGATTTGAGCTGTTATTTCAGACAAAGAGGTAAAATCGCAATCCGATAATGAACCGACATTGAAATAGTGCTTACAATTCACTTAGTCTACTGAGTATTGTCTTTGGCTGAAGAGAAGAAATATCTGTTTTAATGATGAACGTTTGCGCATATGTATTTCTGAATTTATTATTATACAGCGTGGTTGGTTCTTAAAATAATTCCTTTCTTTTGACACAGATCACTTTAATTATTGATATCGCTCCAGTTGAACGAAGCAAGATAAATGTTATTTGGAGATAAAAGTCTTATAATATTGAATTTATTTTTCTTCCTAAGGTTTCTTTTTCACACATAATCTTCTTAAGGTTGAAACGAACGTTAAGTTCGAAATAACCCAAAGAAATATTGATTGACGCGTAAACCAACTGTGTGTGTGTTCTTATTACTTCACGAAAACATTGTATGTAAGAATACCCACCTCCAAAAGTCACGGTTTGACCAAAAAACACAAGATAAAATAACATTGGATTTGAGCTGTTCTTGTGGGTTTCTTTTCTTTTTTGTCTTTTCATTTAAACCTCACCTTTGACATTTTATTTCTTCGGAATATCAACAAAACATAAAAAATTACGTTATACGAAACCTGAATTTTTGAGGGAAAATGAAAAGACACTGCTTTGAGGATAAAATAATAACACTGCCACTTTTGTCTATCATCTTGCACGCTTTTATGCCGGATAAAGTGGGGAAAAGTACAGTACAATTTTTTCACGCAGCGCTCGCTAGCTGGAAATGAGATCTAATGAAAATCACTGTCGTTTGGGATACCACTGAACATATTATATATAGAGAGAAAGTTTATGGTATTTGTACACAAGAAGTGTGTTTATTACGGGTAAACAGTTCCGTCTCCACTTTAAAGAAATTAATGAAAAACAAGCTTCTTCACTCACAGTTCATGTCCACTGTCACGGTTGAAGTCTGTGGTAAGGACTGGTTGTTGTTCAACGCTTGGCAAGAGAAGGTTGCCATCAAGTGCTGACGCTGCAACGCTGGAATCACAAGAGTGTTTTTCACTATGTTCCTTGAGATAATCTCATACGTATCGTCCAGGAGTACAGACTCTCTCCACCAAGATACAGAAGGCAGGGGTTTACCTGGAAAAAAATACTGCTTCAGCGTCAACTACAAACCCGCAACATCTATTGTCCACACCACCAAGACTTAACTGTAAGAAAAAAAAC